CCGAGACGGTTTTATAATCAAAGCTTCAGCCTCTTCTGTCATATCACCATTTGAGTTGCTTGATTTTTGCTTTGGGGGCGAGTATAAAATGTTTAATGGTTGCCTGAAAAAATAATAGGTATACAATGTAGCCTTAATCAAGCATAAAGCCAACTGGAAAAATGCACAGGATACAAATGAGATCTTTATAAGCTGCTTATTGCCCTTAATAGTTTAACTGTGTTTTACTGTCAATCAAACATATTTTTAATCATACAGCCATGGCTAAAGGAACTGGCAATTCTAGAATCCAGTATGTTGAAGTTTCATCAAATTCAAGGCCTCACTGTACCACCAGAATGAAAGTACTGCAGTCAGATTTATGCTAGGTCATCCCCAATGAACTCAACACATTTGTTTCATACATCCGGCTCATACCAAACTACCTACTTCTGAGGCCAAGCAGTATGTAAAAATACATTTCATAAGCAGGCAGGCAGCTTTCCTTCAATGAAAAGGTCCTTCTATTTCCTGCAGTAAAGGATGATGAAAGCAGGATGGGAACTGCAGGCATGCAGTCTTTCTAATTTTAGTCATCTAGCTTAGATGCCCAGGCTCCCTATCCTTTCCTTTCAAAGGAAAGAAATAGACTTCTCACGTTTACACCCTGAACCGCCCCTCCTGAGGCTTCACTAACTATAGAGGGAGCCCAAGTTCCTAAATTATGTGGCTGAAGTTTGACTGTGTGAAAACATTCCCTCCCCAGTAAAAAACTACACATCAAAAGTAACAAGAAGCTCATCATAAAGAGAGCACACAACACCCTACTTGCTTCCTGTTCTTATGGACTTCAGGACAAATGCAGAGCTGCCACTTGGGCCTTAGAAAAGCAGGCGTGGTAACAGATGACAAACACCTCTAAGTAGAGGCTAAGTAACTTGAGCTTTCGAACCTCCACATCTTGGTAGAACTGCCAGCCAGGATAACTGAACTTACCTCTTGGTCTTTGCCCACTCTTTCGCCCAGTTTCTAGCCAAACTTGGCACTACCTCCTCTGATTTGTCCTCTTTATTTAATGACCACAAATCCTTGGCTTCCAAAGGTCTCCGATAACCCTGAACCATCAACCTGTATTAGAAAGAAACAGCACTTAATATTTAAGAACACTACAGATACATATATGTACATGTATGTGCCATAATGCAGTGGTCCTTACATCCAGTCCCAAACGGAGCCATCTCTTCTCAACAACATAGCACAGGGTTAGCACCTGTAGCCAACACAGGCCTACTTGCTAAATCATAAATCCTCCTGTCTTTACTGTGAGAATTAGACATCAAAGCATCTAAGGAGCTAGGATATGCCACTGAATTCACATTTCAGGGAAAATAAAAGAAAGGATGATCTCATTTGAAAATCAGCCAGGCAATTAATATTCTCATGCCTACCAAGTTTCAAAATCTTTATTAGCCTTTAATTTTACAAAGCAATTCCTTTCATCTAGCTTTGTGTTAGAACTCTGGCCAAGTACCAACCACAACTATACACCAATCTTATTCTACATGTTTCTGTCTTTTAACTTATAAGAACATGTATTTTGATCAAATCATACAGCATACCTGAAGGTAAGTTAATGAAAAAAAATAAACTATTGCAAAAAAAGAGCTAACAGCTTTGAATGTCTCAGTTCTGAATACAGAAGATAATTTCTACCTTTTGTATTTCCTAAATAAATTTTGGTTTATATTCCTTCAGCAAACCTACTAAATATATACTGGCAACATTTAAAAATACTAAGACCTTACAAACAAAGTAAAAAATATTAATCAAATTTGCAAAAATAATAAATTAAACCTGTCTTCAAAACAGCCAACCAAAACAACTACAATTATTATTGCATTATTATTATTAATTTCACTGAAAGCAGGATCTGAAATGTCATCGAACTTTAACTGGTGCTTTATGCATCATCTTGATCTTACCCAGTGATCCACCAGAATGTGATTCTGGAGAGAAAAGAAGCACTGAACTCTGGACACGGATTCTAAAGGCGAGAAAAACAAATCAATCCACATGCAAAGTGACTGATATGGGGCCAAAAGAAACAAACCAAGAAGAAAAGATGTTGTTGAAATTCCTTTTGTTTATAGTATTTTTTTCACATTACTAAACTTGTCATTTATCCTGTGGAGAGCTTGTTCAGGCAACACAAGCACAGCTCTAGGGCTGTCAGCAGACTAGACCACTAGGACACAGGAATAGCAGTATTCCATATCAATAATGCCAACAAACAGTTGAAGGAATTTTTTAAGACAGTGCAGGCCAGACAAACTCAAGATGTCATGATCAGTGCCCACCTTTATCAGTGCAAGGTATGCTACCATATGAGAGACTAAATATGTTGAGTAGAATTACTCATAAATTAAGAATTCAGTTCTACTGTTCTAGCAGTCAAGTGCTGTGATACCATCAAAACACATGCACAAATGAAAAAAAAAAGTGAACTCCATAGAAGCATCCCAAAACAGCCTCTAAAATCCTCCATCTCATTCATCAGCAAGATGGGAAACATAAGAATCCCTGAAGGTATGCAGCTAGTTCCTGTTCTTCACCCAGTGCAATGGCTAGTGGCTTCCACTGCTCCTCAGGTCAGTGTCCTCTCCTAATGTGGCTGGATTAATATAGCAGAAGGAAGGCTGCGAGAAATTTAAAGACACTAAAGGTGATTTACTTGCATAATTTCAGTGCAAATTTCTATCTTGCCTCTATCACTGCTCTGAACAGCATCTAAAGAATGCCAAAACCAGCCACTCCTTTGGGACACAAACCACTAGGTTTTTATCAACTATAATTGGAGCAACTCAGGTATTTCCACCTACAAGAGTCACCAAACATCATTAAAGCAGTTAAAACAGCCAGAGGCAAGTGTTTCCAATATTTGCATTTCTCAACTCTGTATAGCCTGGCTTCTCCACTAAGCCATAATGAAGTGTGTTGCAACCAAGCTACATGAAACAGACTCCTGCATTTCCTCTTCTTCACACAACTTTTTTTGCAGCTTTGTAGGGAACAAGAGCAGGTATGAGACAGGGGCTTTTTTTGAGAGGGGATAAAATCTCCATGTTTCCAAATTATTAAAACTCTTCCAAAAAAAGAATTGCAGGAAAATCCAATACCATCACTTAATGAATAAATAAAAGATTTTGAAGAGGGGGGTACTTTCAGCTTTTAGTGACATCAGCATCCCTGACAGGCAGATTTCAGCAAATACAGGGAATACTTTCAACTTTAAAAAAAATTAAAACCTTCTGAACTTTACATAAAATGCAGTACTAATTTTTTCCTTTACACTTTTTTAAATCTACTTGGAAGTGCAAACTGCAAATTCAAGAGTCCACTAGATCTTGTACCACCAAAAACTGGACTTTGTTTGCATAAAGCAAACATTTAAAATATTAAAACATATTAGATTACTGTTAAAATAATACTATTTTTATATAATTAAGTGGTTATCACACAAATACCTACTAATCCTACTGACATTCATGCAAGACAGAATGAAGATAAGTTGTAAAAATTCTGCACTTACATAATGTAAATAAAGCAAAAACAGGAGACAACACACATTGTTAAGCTTCCATATGTATCAGCATCTACACCTTAGAAATTTCACTGTAGTGTTTTCAGCTTAAGTAAACGTTAAGATTTTACTCCTGACTTAGAAACATTCCTGGTTTGGAAATGCTTGGCAAAAGGGAATAGAGCAGAAATTAAGACTGCCTACCATGACTTGCTTTGTCCTTTTCCCTATCATAACATTCAACAAACACACTACTCATGAGTGAAGGGTGCCCTGTTTCCCAGAGGCATTCCTAGAAATGCTGAGACACAAAACCAAATAACTGTGGTCTCAAAGCACCTTGTAATTATTGTAACCATGATCAAAGTAGAAAAGAAAGTTTCCATAAATCCACAGTATCCTATCAAATACATTTTATCCCTGACAAAGATGAAAAGAACACAAAGGTTAAGAGGATCCTAAAACCCAGCAATGTACACTTCCTTCCAGGAAAATACATGCAGTGTCTGCTCAGTAGCAATGCAGAGCACCACTGGCACACTGGATACCCACGGAGAAGGTAACTGTGGAATTCACTAAGTGTGACTGCCCATGAACCTTTCCCACAGTTAAGGCAAGATTTATTTCCCTGCTCACACAATTCACACCTTCGCTCATCAGTGTTAAATGACATCCATCAAACCAGAGTTAAGCCTCGTAGAAAATATAGAATGGAGGTTTCTAAACTTGGCACAGCCAAACTCCAGGCAGTGGCAGGTGTCACTCCACTGTGACTCAAAGTCTAGCCCAGGGCTAAGCAAACAGTGTAATGATCCAGGATCCCTTGGGTCACTGGTATAGATTCCTCCCCACATTCACCAGGAAGGGATTACACATCCTTACGCACTACTGCCCACTGAATGGTATCAGGTGACTAGGAGGACAGCATTTCACAGCAATATTTCTCACCAATTGCCAGAAGCACTATTGAATATAAATACATATGATTTAACCTTGAGGAATGCTCTTCAGGAATGACTGAAATGGTATTCTTGCACTCTCCCTCAAAAATAGCCCACCCCGTTTTCAATGTTATAGGCTTCATCTTCTGTGTCACCAAATAAAAGAGCAGAAAGAACACTACTGCAAAAAAGACAAGATTTGAATTATTTGGCATCTGGGAGACTATGACCCTATAACTCACTGGACAGAATATTGCACGTATGACAGTCAGCACTCAGTATAAACTGAACACTTACAGGATCCTTTACTGTTTCAGAAAATAAAGGTGGTTGTTCTGGGAAACAACACAGGATGAGCTGTACAAGTAACAGGATGAAGTAGATGCCGAAGGTGCCATAACGAAATGCATCCACTTTAGCATCCTACAAAAGAAAGCAGCATTCCAATTAGAAGGCTTGAAGAATTTCTTTAGAACAAGTTACTATTAAACATAAACCAGCTCCTTACTGTAAATTCTGCAAACTACATAAATGTGACACTACCCACCCACATGCAAATTAAAGTTAATGTCTGTTTTGGTAAAGGAAAGGTAAAAAGAGGGGGAAGGAGATGCGAGATAAAATTTATTTTAAATCAATCACTGCCACAAACACACAGTAAGAAGCAACATCTGTAGAGAAGTCCTTTTTAAGACACAGTTTGTACCAACACAGCATACCCCAATTTGAAGTCAAGGTATCCTTTACAGGAGCAAGACAAATTTATTCATTATTATGCACATAGATAATAAGAATCAGAGGAGCAGAATTTAGATTACAATTTCTTGTCTTGTACTCAAATTCCAGACGCTCTTACATTGTCTTGACTGGGACTGATACATAAAGCACTAGTCACAGAAATCAAAGCATATGGAAAGACACTCACCTCCATCAGTAAAATCCCACTCCCCACAGGTAAAGAGAGAAGTTGGCTGAAAGTTCTCAAAATCCACAACATGGCATAAAGGCTTTAAGAAATAAAAGCCATATGCCACTTTCAGGCAGCTCCACAATTAATCTAATATTTGAGGCACCCTTGCTATAAAGCAGACTGACTGAAAAATATTTCACTTGCACACTTTCATTTTGTCTCAGCAGATGTGACCATCAAATCAAGTGTTTCAGGAAATCCACTGTATAATCAACAGGAAGATGACGTAAACTCCCAGAATGTATTCATATCACAGATTGTACACTTTTACACTTTTACTGTACTCAAACAGACACATCCACTTCCTGGAGCAGCTAGAAGAATTTTCTTGGCAACTGTTTATACAGTTAATAGCTCTGTGAATTTCACCAGCATTTCCAAGGAAGGGCCATTAAATCTTGCTTGTTTTGTTTTTATAACCCAAGGAATGAGGCATCTGAATGGATCATTAACTGTCTTGACTAGCATAATTAGCAAGCAACTACTCTATTAGTGCAGCATTTGGGATTATTTTCAACTGACTGAGGCTTGCAATCACTTACCGTATTTAAGGCATTTATTATTTTGGATCTAAAAATCACTGTGGCACATGCCAATGAGATGAGCCAGAAAATTGTCATTACACCTGAAGACTGGACTCCTTTCATTCTTTCATATTGTATTAAAAATGTGGCAAGCAACTGTGGACAAATAAAAATATATTCACAAACTTTAAGTTTTACAATGTGTTATACACATGCATAAAGTGTGCTTATTTAACATTGCAAAGGCAGTATCTCCAATACTGTGTAATATTCAGAGATTTTAAGTGTAATTCAAAAGTATGTTTAAATAGGAAATTCTCTGGAGCAGCAAAGATAAGAAGTGGACAAGAAAAAGGGAAAAGAGATATGTATAACATAGAAGTAAATGACCACATAAGCAAAGGCACAGTCAAAAGCTGCCAGTCTTCATTTCTTTACTTTTCTGGTTTCACATCACAAATCAACATGCAATTATAATGACACTATATCCTTCCCAAGTGTCTCCTGACTAATTCCTTTAAAAATAAAAATATTTATTGCCATATAAGCTGCAATGCCAAACAACACCAACCAAATATTACTTTATTTCTGTATTTTGTATGTTCTCAGAGTCCTTTCGAAAGCTGGTACAACTTAGTAATATCACTTGGCTACTGCAACATGAGTTTTCAATCAGCCTGACAAATGCCTGACAATTGCATTACTAAATAACTAAGGACTATTTAATAGCTCTTCCATCTGCCAGTATACTTCAGGGCTGTTGGGGTTTTTGTTGTTACTGCTATTGGGTTGTTGTCTCCTGCCCTGTTCATCTGCCCCTTGAGTATCATGTTTAATCACTATCATTCCAAGTCTGATAAATGTAAGGCAACAAACATTAAATGAATAGCAAGGCATTTTCCTTGAGGTGGAAGCTGTAGAGATACTGCTGTGAAAGTAGACAATACTTGTGTAGGTAGGTAGAAAGTTAGCTGGGTACCTAAGTCCCTCAAGTGGCATTTAAAACTTTCTCCGTATCATCAAATGTAACAAACGAAACATCCAGTAAAGCAGCAATGGCTTGTGTGCTGACACGCAATGCACTGAGCACAGCCAGGTTGGGTTTTTTCCTATTTTTTTATTAAAAGAAAGCAGACATTTCCAAGTCAGTATGTCACAGCTGAATTGAAGATTAAGTCTGGATGTACAGACTGTAGCTCAAAGAATTACAATACCAAATACTAGGAGGATGTGTGTTATTGGTTAAGCATGAACAATGGCCATAACAGAACTTACCATTGTAATACCCAATACTGTAGGTGTGACAAGAAAAATATTTTGACTTCTTTCCCAGAAAGAGTAGAAAAGGTCTGCCCAGCAGACTATCCACAATATTACACCCAAAGCCTACAATACAAAAGTGTATTTCATCCATCAGTTTGCACATATTAGGCAGCACAACATATACATGAACACCAGACACTATGTGTTAGCAGAAGGAGTCATAACCATGCAAACACCAAAAAAAAAGTAATTTGGCTTTACCTATTGGATCCCCACTAAAAGAAAAGTTTACTAATTTTTAGTATCGTATAATTCAGTGTATTATGAAGCAGAAAGCTGGTGAATCTCTCTTCTGAATAAGATTGCAGAAACAAAAACTCTCAAACACACCATGCTATTATAGTCCTTCTTAAAACTTTTCACTCCTTCTACAGGGAAAAAAAAAAGTTAAAAACATAATGTATTTATTTCACAACAGAAGTTAAATAGAACACCTGCAGCAGCTCTGGAAATCTGTGCTGTGTAACCTAAGAAGCTGACAGGATAACAAATTATTTCTGCTATTGAAATAATGGCCTCAAGATTGAGCTGCCTTAAAATAGCCTTACAAAAGATTTGCATGATTTTTGCTATGTTGGATTAAATCTCGAAAAGCCTACTGATTAAAAGGCAACACAAACCCATAAGGCTTGGAAATCAAACACATGTAGAACAAGTAAACTACAGCTGAAGTGTGCACACAGCCCAAGATTGTTGCTCAACAAAAATAGCCTACTAACATGGCTGAAAATAGATCCAAACTTCCAGATAAGTTCATAAATTCTGGGTTTAAGAACTCACGTACCGTTTTGGCTTTGTTGAGGTTTGACATTTGTATGTATCCCCTGTCATGACGACGAAGGTACAGAAAATACACTGGGAAGCAGATCCACAGGTAAATGCAAGGAATCCACATCAGGACTGTGTTCTGAAAGCATTGGGTGAAGTCTGGACTTTCTGTGTGCCATGTCAGATTCCAATCCTGGGGAGAGAAAACAGGCCAAATTAAAGAAAAAGCAAACACAGAACTTTGGTATTTAAAGAAAGAAATAGCCCCCATCTGCCTCATTCTGTACCTCTTTCTGTATATTTGTTTTTATTTGTATTAAACTGGCTCTATTCTGTGATAGATATAGTTTTATTGCACTTTTTTGTAGAAGCTTTAAACCTTCACAACATTACATTAGTGTCACTTTTATTGGTTTTCCACAGCTACCATGGCATATAACTCACTCTAATGTAATACTGGGATGTTTAACAGTACTATCAGGATCTTTAACAGTATTAATCAAAGATTTTCACATTACCATTGCAGAAAAGTAACATGACAATGCCAGCTACCTCCAATTATAACCACTGTGCCTGTATGTGTAAGTACTCAGATACACCACATTACCAAATTTGAGTGTGGAAACATTATTTGGCACACAGTAAAATGTAAATCAACATAATTCACTGTTTTCCTATTTCTCTCAATACAATTCTCAAAAACAAGATAAATCACCACTGAATTAAACCAAAACTGACACAGTAATAAATATGTGATCATCATTTCAGTTACTAGTACAAGGACTATTTACAATGAAAGGCTATTTAGTAAAATGAACTTTTGTTATCATATTTATGATTGGCTTGAGTTAGGGAAACCTCTTGCAGGAAATTTTTACCTTAAAATTACTAACTTTGCTGTAAAATTATCACAACAGACACTTCCTCTCAAGTGCTGTAGATTTCTGACTCTCCAACTGAATAACAGAGATACTGCTGCTGTAGATGGACAGCAATATTCAAAGCACAGCTCACAGCCTTCTGTTTAAAAGCCACACAGACAAAAGTAGCAGTCCAATGTCCAAAGGCTTGTTAACTGTAGTGGCATTTTCAGTTGCAAAGCATTTTTTCAGACGGTTGCACAGCTTACAACTGCACAGAACACCAGTACCACCACTGGGACATAAAGGCAGTCAGTAATCCTTCTTGTCTATGGAAGTCTGAGCTGGTCACAGAAGTAAGTGCGATTATCCTCATTTTATAGATGAGGAAACAGAACCAAAAGGAGCTGTAGTGCCTGCCCCCTCTATTCCAACATCAAAGCTGGAAACAGATCCCACTGCTCAGAATCATCACACTCTGATCTTTATTTGTCCCCAAGTTCCACTGATTAAACAGTTTCAAACAACTACAAAGAGAGGAAAATAGATCTAAACAGAAGCTTTAATTTGCAAAAATTTCAACTTGAGGCTAATGAGACATCATTGTATCGTAGAGCAGATCTCCCCTTAAATTCCACCACCCCCTTTAAAGATATTTTGTTGGTTTAAAAAAAAAACAAACCACCTTCTTTTAAAAATATATGCACAAAAAAAATTTTCTTCCCCACCTTCCTCTCAATTTCTGTCAGAATCTAAGACTTCTTTAAACTCAGATACAACAGACAGCATGCACAGGACATAGAGCTGTTATTTTTCTCCTCCAATTTCACAGCATTCTAAAAATTCTTCTAATTTCATATAATTTTTAGCTTGACAGGTCCTTAAAAAAAATTATCTCGTACTTAATACAGCCAACTCTGAGAAATTAACACTGGTAGAGCACAAAAATGCCCAATTATGTTTTAGTGTATCGGCACAGGGGTCATGTAAGTTTGTGACAAGACAGTGGCTGCAAGACACTGTGGGCAAGCCACATGCTTATTAAGTTCCCTGGCTGCATAACCTCATCAGAAATTTCAGCTGAGTCATCCTTACATTTAGCCACCACACAAATGTTTTGGGCTTTCTAAGTCCCAGCTGCTCCACCCCAGCACAAGAGCCAAGTGAAAGTCTCATGACTCTGCAGAACAGAGTCACATTCACACATTACAATTCACATATTAAGACAGTTAATATGATTACACTAGTAAACTAACAGGATGTAATAAACTTTGCAACAAACAAACAAGAGCATTGAAATACTGTACTGAGTAAATATTCTGAGATCTACATAATGCTTAAGAAAGCCACTATCTCCTTTTTTCAGTGTTTTTAAATGTTTGCTGTAAAATTAATCAGGCACTTACCAGAAAGGACAGAGCAGGTAATGCACATGTCACTGCCACGTGGCTAAATAAAACTAAGAACTGCCATATGCGTGACCGCTATGCATATTGGCTGGAGGATATGCAAACTTTCATTTGAATTTCAAATTTGCAAGTTATCTGGAGGTGTTGGTGCATGCAAGGCAAGAGGGTAAAATGCAATGGTAATTCAGAATATCACAAAGTCAGGAAAACTGGGCAGTTCGGGGTAAAATTAATGTTAGAATTTAACAGTTACAGGAACATCAGTGTACCTTACATTTTTCCTGGATTTGATGCAGAGGCTGTGGATATCAAACAGGAGTTTGCTTAGCATATTTTTTCCTGCCAATTCCCTAGGTGAAATTCTCTCAGGCTATGTCTACACAAGGCAGTAGCATAGACAGGAATGGAGCTGCAGATCAAATACTTGCTACTGAGTACCTGATGTCCACACAAAATGCCTTTCACTCAGGTTCACACAAAATGAGGTGCAGGCTCCCCTGCAGACTGTCCATCAGCCACTGGAGCACATTTCCCAGTTAGCACCTGTCCACAAGGTGCTTGGACCACTCCTGAGTGAACCATCACATAGGAGAGGGGACTGTCAGGAGATCACAGTGATAGGCTCCCTCCCAGTCTGAACCGGTATGTTAATGTCCTCCCTGGGTAAAGTCAAGAGGAACAAATTCCATTACAAAAGACAGGCATACCCTAAGTTCTGCAAGGAGGATATTACAGCTTTATGAGATTGAGTTGCAGCTGGAAAACATGTCACATTCAACATGAAACCAAGAAATACTCATATGCAAATCACAATGTTCAGTTACACAAGTCTAACTAGTTCTGCCAGTTTAACATACATGCTTCTGCTTTGCTTCATATAGACCTAGTTTCAGAGTTCCTTTTCTTCTAGCACAAATCAAAATTCTGTCTGGCTCAATGCAGAAACACCCACTGAAGCAGATCTTTATATTTCACATATATTAACTAGCAAATTTAAGACATTTTTTCTGTGTCAAGTTTTAGAAACACTATTTTAACAAGTTTTATTAAAGCATTAAATTGCCCCTTTTTCACATCTTAAAGATTAGTAACAATCTTCACTCTGACTGATCAACTAATCCTTCTATTTTGCAAGAGCACATCAAACAACAGAGAACCTGTATTCTCTGGCCATGAAGGAAGAAGAGGAAAATGGGGTTAGGTCTGCAGGTATCTGAATGTATAATCTGGAAACAGTCTTTAATTTAAGCTATGGCTGCAGGAACACACAGGAAAAGAATCAGCATGATCTTTGTTCCTTAGTAGATGTTGGGAGAGATCTGCTGTTGGCTTAGTTTTAGTCCAGTCCAGAGGAACCACATGTCAGATGTTAAATAGGTTCAGGTGAGGTTTTTTTTGTTTCCTTTTAAAATCCCTAGACAATTTTTAAGTTTCCCAGAATAGCAAATGGGTATTTTTAAACCTGTCTAACCTATTTCTCAGTTTTAATTTCCAGCACCAGCACTGTGGCTGAAAAAAAATACCTGCCCACAGTTTCTGTGCCCAATAGCACATTTTCTCATATGGCACAAAAAGGCTTCCTATCACATTTTAAGTGAAACCCTCTAACTCCAAGAAGGGTACAAGAATAGCTTGGCATTCCCCTGAATCACATGGATCTATTCACAGGTGAACTACTTATTTAACAGTGTATAAATCCTAGGAAAATAAAGAACTACACTACTTCCTGTCTAAAATGTCAGGAACAGGCAAGATAATAACATTGGCAGCAGGATGAAGGCAAAGTTACAACACAAAAGATCGGTTATTCTGCCTCTGCTGGGGGAAGCTGCATGCCTCCACTGAACCTAATCTAAGGAATACCAGCATTTGACACTGGACGGGACCTTGTGGCTGGCTGCCTCTCTACTGGCAGCCAGGCAAGGTTTTCAAGTGAGCAGCCAGCAGCCGCCTGTTCTCACATCAATAATCCTACTTGACCCAAAGCACATTTTAAAATTCTCACTAGCAGAAACACAGAGGCCAAAATCGCTCAGTTTCATGCCTGCTGTGCACAAGTGTGCCAGAGATGCAGGCTGCCAACCACACTGTTAAATTCACCTGCACTGTTAAATTCACTAAATTAATTCAGCTGTAACTGAAAAATTACTTAAACATGACCACACACCTACGTAAAAAATGAAATTACAAAACTACACTGGAATCTTAGTATCACAGTCGACATTTAATCTTTCAAATGGAATTTGACATTGAAGTTGGTGTTTACCCACTACTTCAGTATCACCCACAGAACCTCCTTCTTTCTAACAGCAAGATATGGCTTCTTAGTCTTATTTTCCTAACAATAAAAAACATTTTTCATTTAACACAATGCTTGCTTTTAGTAGAATGCAAGTAATTAGCTCACTCAGGCACTTAGACTGTAATTGCAGCTGAAAATTTTCATTATAATAGTATCATTGCTTTCCCACTGAAATAGGAAGTCTCATAATCTGGCAGCTCTAGATATCATATTAAAAAGTTCCCCCATGTAGCACCTATAAACCCATGAGATGTCTCAATCAGTCTCCCTCAGATGCCACGAGGTCTTTAGCCTGCACTATCTAGAACTGCAAATTTCCTGTCTGCCTCTCACAAGATGGGAGATTGACCTGATCTGGCTGAGCCTACAGCCTCAGAACAGCAACAAGCATCAGTGGACAACTGGGGCAAGGCAGGGTGGGCAGGGGGTGCAGAAAAGGAACTCTTCCTTTAAGACTGCTTTAAAGGAACTCTGACCTTGCTTTTGAAGGCCTTAATACCACCATTCTCCATCAAAAAACCCAGTAAAAACAGTGACACTGTTGACCACACTGAGAATTAAGGAAAACAATGAACTACAACATAATCCAGATTTTGCAACGGGTTAGCTGAAGGTCTGCTTTCAAGTAATGAACATGAAAGACCTCTCTGACGTTATTCAGCTTGCCAAGTAAGCTTTATTCAATTTAGCTTTATTTCAGTCTTTCTTCAAGATTTCTAATTTTCTCAAAACATTAAATACAGCATCTTTATTCTGTCATGCATATTTTGGAGTTGGATCATGAAACATGCTGAAGTTCACTGTTTCTCTAAGAGCACATTTAGAATACAATCCACAACAAGCACAATCACACGCAACCTTCACCAGCATTCCCTTCAAGATCTCATCTGAGGACAGGTGCTCATATTCACACAAAGTTCTCAGACATGTCTTCAGGCTGGCAAGCCCAATTAGATCAATAGGTTTCTGCCTTTTTGTTCTTCTAATGCCACAAAGGTGAAATGAGAAACATTAACAGTAATTACCAAATTGGGATGCAAGAATCAGATCTCCAGCTCTCTTGGAGATCACATTTGTCCATACAGTTCTGGATTTCTTTTGGGTTTTTGGTTTGGGGTTTTTTTGTCACTACAGAACTAAACCTACCATGCAATTGCGGATCATCTCTTCTTACTTGATGCTAGAATCTTGGGGGGAGGACAGAGGAGAGTTGTTCACCAAACATTCCTCCTCATAAAACCATGAATGGAATAAAACTGCTGCTATAAAATGTGAAGTTTATTGGCTAAAATGTTAGCAGTAGTCAGGAAAGCAAGGAACAGACAGTATCTTAGCAGAAGTTTGAATACATGTCCCCAGTTAAGATTTTTATGTCTGTCTTCTGCCTGAACAAAAAGGCCTAAATAATTCACAAGCAAGCCTTCTATCCTAGCCTCCCAAAATATCATG